AGGATAAATGAACTAGATGCTTTGGTTCCCCTCCGTTTGAAACAGCCAGAAAGGCTGACTCCCAGCCCCACTGATCACTCCTTTGACAGCTACCTGCCCGATGCCACTATGGACTTGGACTGTACTGCTAGCCATTATCTGGCAGAAAAGATAAACAGTGTTGGGACCAGCCGTGTGACGAAGGGTTCTAACCATGAGGTGTTTGGTAGGCCAGGTCTTACTAACATGGAACACTCATTATGGTGTCATTTTATGGGTGTCTTCAGTTTGTAGAGTTCCTCTTATGTGTTGTGTCTGACTGTTGCATGGGAATTTGTTTTTTTGTTTTTTTTTTATTCTGCTCACCGAATTCTCACCCAATTCTACATCGCTTCTCCACCCTTTCTTTAATGCTTTTGTTATAATTGAAAGCCATATATGCTTTATTTTAAAGCCAAATATATTTCCTTAATTTATAATAGACCCTTATTTCCCTTACTGTACGAAGTGGTCTAGTGCAGGATGGCCATATTTAACAGGAGAATTTAGGGCCTTATTGGCTGGTGCGTTCGCCATGAATTATGCAGGTTCAGAATTTATTTTTGTCCCCCGACAGAAAAATCCCATCATTGACCACTTGACTAAACACTTCCGTGTATTTCATGTCACTGTGGGAGGGGGATGGGGGGGGGGGGGGTTGGGGGGGGAATTGGTATTCTGATACCTGGCCCAGCAAATTTCAGAAATGTGCACATGCAGGAAATGCATAAGGCAGTCACTAGAGGTGCGAACACCAAAGTCTGCCACCAAAATTGCAATTTGCCATTGATGGAAATAGCCAGTTATATCAAGCTGGCTATATACAAGTACAGTTATTGTATAATGCACATCGCCAGCCTGAACATGACTGGGCCATCAGCCGTTTTCAGAAAATCATAACCACAGAGGGCCAAAAACAAAAGAGCACTTCAGAGCTTTTAACAGACTGCCTGCCTAACCATGTTAAACCCAAAGTCTGGAATATTTTTTTATCGTGTAATAAGGAGACTGCTGATCACCTATAACCCACCACGTATTAACTCAACAGTCTCCTTTTTATTTACATTAATTTTTCAGTTTTCAGAATATATGGCTGCAAGTACTGCTTGATTGCTCTCATTTTATGTATTCATTTTTGGATTTAGTTTCTGGAAGCAGGCCAAGGGTATCCACTTATTTATCCTCTCCCAAGTACCCATTTATTGAAGTTTGTGGTATAAGGATCTCTTGTTATACCCTAATAACAACTTCCTTTTTCCACTAGATGTTTGTATATCATTAACCATTCACTGAAGTATGTGAGATTAAGCATATTTGGGTATAACGTAACAGAAACAAGTCTTACATCTGCTAAGTTTGTTTATTATTCTCCTTGGTGTAAAACAGAAGAAACTAGTCCTGATCTGCTCACTCACTATCCTTTACGCCAGCATGACCAGGCAAGGAAGGTTTAGGTGCAGTTTTCAAATGCTTTCTACACATTCAGAGCGCATACTGCCAGTTGCTATCTTCTGAAGCATGTTCATGCAGGCAGGTACAATTACTGCATGTGTGGTGTTTGCTCTGCTGCCCATGCTAGTGCTCTAGAAGCAGGGGCTATCTCCATGGTCATGCTTGACATAGTTGCCTGGTAAGCGCCACTGTCCTCTTTTATAGTTTTCCCCCATCCTTTGTATGCCCATGCTGACCATGATCCGTGCTGCACTGTACCATCTCTGTAAATAATGATGTCTTCGGGGTGTAAATACTGATCTATCAGTGCCCTTACCTCTGTGTCTACGGCCGCAGGAAGCTGATCCCTGCAGTACCTCGCCATGTAATGACAACTTTAGAGATGCCGCCCACAAACAGTGGCAGGACATCTGTCAGGGACATACCTCCACCACCTGCGTTGTCACAGCAACTTAAGGCACAGACAAGTGATTGTCTACTGTTGTGTTTGTCCATTCTTTTCTGTGACTTATTTCACCTATTTCACATACTTCCTGGATTAAATCTTCAGCCTTGGCCATTCAGGAGCGGCCTCTTGAGATGGATTCCTTTTATGTCTTGTATAGTGTTGGGTGGTTAGCGTCTGCCGATACCTCCATGTATGCCTTGACCTGTGCGACTTTGTGTCTGTTAGCCATCGTTGGCATGACTGTGATATGATCCTGTTCAGCCGATGCAATTATGAACTAGTTTTAAATTAATGCTGTTTAATTATATGCACACACACATGCACGCACACACAGATTATATATATATAATATATATATATATATATATATATATATATATATATATATATATATATATATATATATATATATATATATATATATATATATATATATATATATATATATGACCATCATTGACTTACCTGCTTCTGCTATGTAACTAACTATGCCAGAGTCCTTCAGCTGTTGCCTTGTCTTAAGGGGAAGTAACCATTTGCTTAGCATATTCACACAAAACACATGTGCACACCCAAATATATGTAGCAGTTTATGTTCATAGACTCAGGTAAAATTTGCGGCAAGTAAAGATAAGCAGTTCACACCAACTTACTAGAAACCATAAGATAGCAATATATGTTTCTTAGAATAGACATATATGTGTGAATGTTGAATTAAGAATCAACATCATAAAAGAACACTCTCATAAGTGCTCTGTCCCCATCTTCAGCAGCAAACAAAAATTTTGAGTTCCGATGGCACCAGTAAATGTCTGATTGTAGGTGTGTCATATTCAACCCACGATCTAACAGTTAAATTAACATGTAGCTTTGTGTTTATTTGCTTTGATGTAACCATATTAACACATGCTAATTTAAATATTTTCTTCTGGCAGCAAACTTAACAATTATAACCGTCTTTGCCTTTTTTTTTTTTTTTTGTAATCAGCTTTTTGTTAGACTTCTTTTTTTTTTCTTTTATATTTCAACATATGCTAGAGTTGCTGGTTTGTTCTGTTGGTAGTTTGAAAATGTTGATTTCCATAGGCTGTTTATTGGTTGGTTGGTTTTAGTCTAGGAACCTGAGTAACAAAGCCACTGTGTTGATGTTCAGGTCTTTTCAGCTGTGAACAGGGCTGGTGCATGTGGGAGTGAGGCTGGTGTAGAGAATTGTCTCTAGATTTGGTACTGTAAGTACTGTCTTCATGAGGACTGTGTTGCAGCGCTCTTCTTCCCCTCTGTAAGTTCACATACAAGCTACATCTGGAGGAACCAGTAATGGGAAGTTGACATCTGCAGTGAGCCATGTTGGGCCCTGGAGTGTTAAGCCTGACCATTAGTGAGATGTGGGCTTGGTCGTGCAAGTTCCATAAGCCAAGTTATACATAGAACTACTGTACTTCCCCCACGGAGTAAGCTGTATGTAACCTATGTCTGCCTTTAAAAGAGGGGGGGCGTATTTAGAGATTACACCTAGGCTGATGAGGTACCGTGTTCAAATCCTAGGATAGAGGTAGGACTTGTTCTAATATCTGATATTACATGTCAAACCTGATTTCATGGGTAGTGACATCTAATATCTAGCCTTCTCTGATAGAGGCATAAAATAGGTCTTAGGTTGTAAGTTGTGGCCATAAAAAATCCCATAGCAGTTGGAATGGCAAAGAGTAGGCCACTACACAGAAAACAAAGAATTGTAGGAAATAAAATATATCCTTAGATTTAGTCCTGTTACTTTGGATGGAGTTTATCCCATGAAAGCAAACTTGACCAAAATGCATGTTGGAGTCAAACATCACAGATGAAATTTCAGGCTCAATTTATCTACGACAATTGGGCACATGGGAGGGAATGTGTTAAACTTGTCAGCTTAACTTTCTCATTTAACTTCCATCACTTGATAAGACTCTGGTCAGGAACATGTAATAGATTTTCTGCCCAAGACATATGTGGGTGTATGCGGGCAATGGGCAGGCTGCTACTGCTCCTCTCGGTGGCAAACTGCTTAAGGATAATATTTCCATGGTGAACTCTCACTGTGGTCAGTAGGTAGTGCAGCACATCAGTATCCACACCCAGAAGCAATGATTCTGCTGGGATCAGACAGGGGGTCTGGACAACCTTCACTCAGGGCTCAAGGGAAAGGTCAGCAGACTGGATCAGGTTGCTGCTGGGATCAGACAGGGGGTCTGGACAACCCTCACTCAGGGCTCAAGGGAAAGGTTAGCAGACTGGATCAGGTTGCTGCTGGGATCAGACAGGGGGTCTGGACAACCTCTCAGGGCTCAGGGAAAGGTCAGCAGACTGGATCAGGTTGCTGCTGGGGAGAAAGGGTCTGGACAACCCTCACTAAGGGCTCAGGGAGGTCAGCAGACTGGATCAGGTTGCTGCTGGGATCAGACAGGGGGTCTGGACAACCCTCACTCAGGGCTCAAGGGAAAAGTTAGCAGACTGGATCAGGTTGCTGCTAGGATCAGACAGGGGGTCTGGACAACCCTCACTCAGGGCTCAAGGGAAAGGTTAGCAGACTGGATCAGGTTGCTGCTAGGATCAGACAGGGGGTCTGGACAACCCTCACTCAGGGCTCAAGGGAAAGGTCAGCAGACTGGATCAGGTTTCTGCTGGGATAATTAGCAGGTGACAGACTGGACAGGTTGCTGTTCAGCTGCTGAAGAAGGTCAGACTGGATCAGGTTGCTGCTGGGATCATTAGCATGACAACACATTGTTAGCTGCTGAAGAAGGTGAATGAGCACTTATAGGAATCTCTGAAGTGCAGTGGTTTCAGTCCATTACTTCATTTATTCACTTTCTCACTTGAAGCTGCTAAACGTGTTTAGAAGGCTGGGATAGGGCGGCAGGGTTGTAACTTCTGTTTGAATCCTTGATCGTTTGAAATTGTCTGGCTGGGAACTATAGAGACTATAGGTAAGAGAGTTCTGTTGTACATGAGGAGGCTCCGCACTGGGCACCTCAGTAAATATATCCCATAGACGATTCATCATTTGGTACTCTTGTCTCTCAGCTGTACATTTCTATCACAGAACCACCAAAAGCTGCTGTTGCTGCTGCCCAGCGGAGGATGGAGAAGCCTAACGTCACCTCGGCATCCTCCAACAACCACTTGTCTGTGCCTTCAGTAGCTGTGACAACACTGGGGGTGGAGGTATGTCCCCGACAGGTGTCCTGCCACTGTTTGTGTGTGTCTGTGTTTGTTTTCGTTCCGTGCTATACCTGACTTGTATTTCTCTGTAGCAGTTTTCATCTGTAATGATTAATTAGAAATACGATTACTACACCTGATAGCAAGTTATTATACTGAGTTCCTGTAAAGAAATGTTTTTATTTCTAAACAGCATATTTGCGTGGTCAGTTGGTGGCTTGCCTGGGGACATAAAAGCCTAAAGTTTGAACCTTGGTGAGGTACCTCTCTACACAAGTCTCTGCAGGTTCTCTGTAGAGTAAATAAAACTGGTACATTCATTCACAGCACCTGAGAGTAAACATGAGCAACTTGCAGAGTATTTACTGCCAGCTGATCAATGTTCTTGTGCCCATGGAAGAAGACATTGGGACTTCAACACATAACAGCCACTAAGACAGTAATGGATGTACATATCCTTGCAGTCAACCAACCTTGTGGAGATGACAACACACCCACATCTAATCAACCAGTCAACCCAACCATCCAGCTCAACTCAATCAAACAGACCATCAGCATCCCATAATTTTAATCTATCAGCCTTGTTTTTTGTGTGCCTAGTCCCATAAAAGCTGTTTGCCCCAACATCCTCTGCTATGTGTGGTCATGTTCTGTACAGCTGGCATCTCCACTTCTTGTGCTAAGATTCATAACCATGATCACCATGCAGTAAGTTCATTATAAAACATCTGTCACGTTACAGCCTCGTTGTAAAGCTTTGAGAACACTGCTGTAGGTCCTGTGCCAGGTGGCCAGCCTCATGGATAGCCATATTCTGTGTCCATCGTCCTGAGCCAGGTGGCCAGCCTCACCCTGCGGGGACTACGTCAGTCATTTCTGTTCTTCTTCAAGCACTCTGAGAATTAGGTGTGGTCCATGTGAAAACATCTGGTTGAAATGTTGAATGTTTGTGCCAGCTGCAGTTGCCAGTCTGCTGGTGTCTGCAGGCAGTGGCTGACATTAGTTGTACACATATTGTCATGGTTACTGTAAAATCTAGCAGTAGTTGCACACATAATGTCACGATTACTGTAAAATCTAGCAGTAGTTGCACATATATAGTTATGGTTATTGTAAAGTCTAGCAGTAGTTGCACACATAATGTCACAATTACTGTAAAATCTAGCAGTAGTTGCACATATATAGTCATGGTTACTGTAAAGTCTAGCAGTAGTTGCACATATAATGTCACGATTACTGTAAAATCTAGCAGTAGTTGCACATATAATCTCATAATTACTGTACAATCTAGTAGTAGTTGCACACATATAGTCATGGTTACTGTAAAATCTAGCAGTAGTTGCACACATAATGTCACAATTACTGTAAAATCTAGTAGTAGTTGCACACATATAGTTATGGTTACTGTAAAGTCTAGTAGTAGTTGCGCACATTTACGTTCTTTGAAAATTTCAATGTCTTTACAAAAATTGTTGAGAAATTGAATGTCTTAAAAAAAATTGTTGAGAATTTTGGTGTTTAAAAAAAAAAACATTCGTTGAGGGTTCGGGATGTCTTTTAAAGTATTTGTTGAGACTTTAGATATTTAAAGTAAAAATCTTCTTTGAGAGTTTGGATTTCCTCAAAAAGCAGTCATTGGGAGTGAGAATAATCTCAAAAGGCATGTATTGTTAATCAGCAGAGCTGCAAGGAAGATGAGGATGAAGAAGATGATTTTGATGAGCTGTTTAACCACCACCAACCTAATGCATTGTTGGGCAGCCGTAGCAGCTTGGCTGTAAGTGCTGTCATGGTGGGGGGTGATGCCTGCATGAGCATGTGGTTCTCAGCACCTGGGTTTGTGTCCTTGGCTTCTCTGGTGGTGATGGTTGGTTGTGGTTTAGCTTTTGGCATGTGCATGGCTTTTGCTTTATCTAATATATTACTTGTATGTGGGGGGGTCCACAGTCCATCCACAGTCAGAGTTGTGAAATAATAGTGTACCGCGACATGAGAGCATCATGAGTGTTGTGTGTTAAAAATATTTAGTCACTGTGGAGAGACTTATGGAATAGCCTATACCTCTTATTGCTGCCACTTTGTGGCCTCGGTCATCAAGTCTGTCCACAGAGACTTCTGTCTCATCTACTGTCAGTTGTGTCTGGTACAGATGGTTCTCCATGCTGTGATGCCAGACTGTCCAACATCTCCTCTTTTTGTCTCCCTCTACCTTTCACCACTACAGTGTCCCCGATATGATACTGTCACTTAGAAATGACATTGTTAGACCAGAGGACAGTTGTGGTAGGCCAGCTGTGAGACTTGTTGTTTGTCAGTCTGTGTGACAGAGAATCAGACTGTTTTCTGATGGCCTTCAGGTGGCTTTGGAGGTGACCAGACTGGCTCTCTGAGCCTAGAAATACTTGTGAAGTGAGGTCATGGAGTGCCAGTTGTCACTTTTATAGAGATCAGTTTGGAGCTGCTTTATGCAGCACTTGTCTTCTCCAGTTCACAACTGCTCTGAGGTAGTTATGCCACCACAGTTCTGACTACATCACTTGCAGGCTTGGCAGCAGTTCTCTAAGCCAGTGTCACAGTTCTTGATTCATGGAGACTTTCAGAGTATCTCTTGATTCATGGAGACTTTCAGAGTATCTCTTGATTCATGGAGACTTTCAGAGTATTTCTTGATTCATGTAGACTTTCAGAGTACCTCTTGTTTCATGGTAACTTTCAGAGTATCTTTATCTCTTGATTCATGGAGACTTTCAGAGTATCTCTTGATTCATGGACCCTTTCAGAGTATCTCTTGATTCATGGTGACTTTCAGAGTACCTCTTGTTTCATGGAGACATTCAGAGTATCTTTATCTTTTGATTCATAAAGACTTTCTCTGTATATCTCATTTTCTGCCCAGTTATGGTATTTGCTGCTAGAGGTCATCTGTAGCAAGCCCACTATTTTGTTACAGTATTCCTTAGCAAGACCTGGGACAGACTCCGTCATAGGATGACATTTAGGAAGCCCACACTAACAACAGTTTGTGTGTGGGATTATTTTTACTTGGCAAAATAAAAAAATGTTTTCCTTTTTTTTGTTGTTTCTTTTCTGAACATTTTCTGCATTTCTATAAAATGTTAATTGCATATCTAAAACATTTTGCTGTGTATCACCAATATTTCCTTTGTATATTCTCAACCAAGTTCCAGTGTATATCACCTCGTGTAATCAAGTATTTAACCAAACTAGTTCTATAGTAAATCACCTTGTATAATCAAGTATTTCCTTAAACAAGTTCCACAGTATATTACCTTGTATAATCAAGTATTTCCTTAAACAAGTTCCACAGTATATCACCTCGTATAATCGGGTATTTCCTTAAACAAGTTCCACAGTATATCACCTCGTATAATCAAGTATTTCCTTAAACAAGTTTCAGAGTATATCACCTCGTATAATCAAGTATTTCCTTAAACAGGTTTCAGAGTATATCACCTCGCATAATCAAGTATTTCCTTTAAACAAGTTTCAGAGTATATTACCTCGGGAAATCAAGTATTTCCTTAAACAAGTTCCACAGTATATTACCTTGTATAATCAAGTATTTCCTTAAACAAGTTCCACAGTATATCACCTCGTATAATCAAGTATTTCCTTAAACAAGTTTCAGAGTATATCGCCTCGTATAATCAAGTATTTCCTTATACAAGTTCCACAGTATATCACCTCGTTTAATCAAGTATTTCCTTAAACAAGTTTCACAGTATATTACTTTGTATAATCAAGTATTTCCTTAAACAAGTTCCACAGTATATTACCTTGTATAATCAAGTATTTCCTTAAACAAGTTCCACAGTATATCACCTCGTATAATCAAGTATTTCCTTAAACAAGTTTCAGAGTATATCACCTCGTATAATCAAGTATTTCCTTAAACAAGTTTCAGAGTATATCACCTCGTATAATCAAGTATTTCCTTTAAACAAGTTTCAGAGTATATCATCTCATATAATCAAGTATTTCCTTAAACAAGTTCCACAGTATATCATCTCCTATAATCAAGTATTTCCTTTAAACAAGTTCCAGAGTATATCACCTCATATAATCAAGTATTTCCTTAAACAAGTTCCACAGTATATCATCTCCTATAATCAAGTATTTCCTTAAACAAGTTCCAGAGTATATCACCTCATGTGATCAAGTATTTCCCCAAAAAAGTTAGAGAGTGAATCACCTCATATAATCATTTCCCCAAACAAGTTCCACAGTATATCATCTCCTATAATCAAGTATTTCCTTAAACAAGTTCCAGAGTATATCACCTCATGTGATCAAGTATTTCCCCAAAAAAGTTAGAGAGTGAATCACCTCATATAATCATTTCCCCAAACAAGTTCCAGAGTATATCATTTCATTTCATTATGTAGCAGGTCCTTCGCAGAACATCGCTCTCATCACAGTCTGCCTGAAAAAAACTCGGTCTCTCACCAGTTTTCCTGCCTCATGCACTTTCACACTCAAGGAGTCACTTATATCCTGTGCCCATCTTCGTGTTGGTTGGCCCCTGCCCCTCCTTCCTGGTACCATGACTTCTGCTATAATGTTTTCCGATCCGTCGTGACGCTTGATATGACCAAAATATTTCAGCTTTCGTGAAAGGATGCTGTTTATTAGCCAATCTTCCTTGATGTTCAGATCTTTTAAGATGTCAAAATTTCTCATCTTCTTTGTCCAAGATATTCTGAGAATCTTTCTATAGCATTTTAGCTCAAAAGCCCCTAATCTCTTTCTCAAAGACTGAGAGATAGTCCAGGACTCACATCCGTATGTAGCCACAGGGAAGATGCATGCTCTCAAATTTCTAATTTTTATCTTCTTGCTTGTACTTAACCATAGACTTTTAAGGCTGTTCAATCTTTGCATTGCCAAGGCCATCCTCCTTTTAATTTCTGTCGAACAGTCTACATTGTTGTTTATTATAGAGCCTAGATATTCAAAGTT